AGGGCAAAACCTGTTACTAAGGGAAAATAGAGAGTACCAAGTCCACATGCTCAGGAGCATCCACTGTTAACTCCTCTGGGGTATCAGGAAGGCTTCCTGGAGGAAGTGATATTTCAGCTGAAGCTAGAACAGTCAGTGAGAGTGATTAGAAAAAGTGAGGTAAAGAGGAGTTTCCAGCAGTAACAGTGTATCTATCATACCAGTAGAACTGAAAAGTATAGTATAAAGAGAACATGGAGCTAAGGCTGAAGAGTAGCAGACACAGGCCCTTATAAACCTCTGAAGTTTAATGACAGTGGAAAAGCATGGGAGGTTTTTTAAGCATGTGACTGACACATAAATGCTGGAGTGCTTTATAAACTTGAGTAACTTATGTGGATAATGGATATAAAAACAACATAGCTCGGGCCTCCCTGATGGCACAGGGGTTAAAGTCTCAGTGCTATCAAGCTATCACCAGCCACTGCAGCATGAGTTCGATCCCTATCCAGGGAACTAACCCACATGGCACAGCAGACCTCTCCTCTCTCACCTGCTGCTCCCCTGAGCAGTGTATTTCAGTACATCCACCTGTTCTGCTCCCTACTCTCTCTCTTGTGAATCCTCCCACCCACCACACTTCTGGCCTACATCCCAGTTCTTGTATGCATAAATAATTTTTTTTAAATCTTTAAGGAAGAAAATAACATAGCTCAAGGATTCAATGTCATCAAATTCTTACAAAGCTCATATACACTAAATGCATTCTGAAATGTCCCAAAGGAATGGAGAAAATGGCCAATGGCAGGACCAAAATATATCAGTCCTGTGTTTGTCTCTAAATAGCAGGATAATTAATACAAATCACTAGAGAATTAAAACAGCTGGGCTAGCCAAGCTGACGCCGGCAAAGGCCAACTGTATTGTCACGTCTCCACCTCCATGCCGGCCATGGGGAAGGACAGGCTGTCGTGCCGACGTCAGCCGGCACAAACCCACACGGAGCAAAATGTCTCAGCACCAGGACAGGGAACTAGTACTGCTGATCCCTCATTAGCCAAGGTAACAAAGAAATATGCCCCCGAAAAGACAGATTACACAGCAGAGGTGCTGGGACGACAGTAAGAAAACGTGACATTAAACATACACCAGACTCTGTGGTTTATTTTAATTCAGCTACATGCTAGTCATCACTACCATCCAGGAATGAGAATACCAAGGAAACTAAGGAATTAACATGGGGTCCCCCACAATATCTACACACTAGATAGGATGTAATAAAAAACAGTATCAAGAATAAAAAGGAGCAAACCCCCCAGGGGCTGGAGAACTTAACATGCTGCTTATCTGCTTTGGTGTGTGTGTCTGTACAGGACGCCCAGATTCACATAGAGTCCGTGGCAAAGGCATCGACTTTTTTCATGATGCTGAATCTCTAAGAACCTGATGAGTTTCTCTGAGAGCGAAGTAGCAGCCCAATCTAGCTCAGCTATACTCAATCTGAGTTGCTTTCCTACCTACAAACCCTCACTTCAAAGCAAGGAACATAATGTACAATTTTTTAATGGCTCTAGACCCAGGCACTCAGGCTCTCTGCTCTGCGCCTTACCTCAGTGTAAACACCTAATCAAGATTGCCTGTGCTTCAACAATAGCAGCCAAATGCAATTCGAGAACCACAAGCCTTTGAAGTCCTCCCTGCAAAGGCCGGTTTTCTAGTCTGGGATAATGACATGCCATGATTGCTGTCTTTGTTGTATCTTTTCAGTAGAGAAGCAATTATAGGCCCCAATTTAACAGAATAGACATTACACAGCTTATGATGCTCAAAATGCAATTTCATTTGATCATTTTCTCGATTTGATTGGTATTAATAGAATGGTTCACAAAAAAAAAAAAATAGCTGGCAGAGGTTGTGTCCCATTCCACTTTCAAAGAGATAATGTAGAAGTATGCTTTACTTGCTCAGAGACTCTCTCTGGGGTGATTCAGGCACTGAGTTCCACCAAAACAGCCTGTGGCTAGAAATCACATACATCCAACATTCTCTGGGGAAGGAAGCACAGGACGATGCATTTTAAATTTGTAAACTTTTTCCCAGAGCTACCTAAGGGATCCCATTATTGTCAATCAAACAATTGTAAATGGAACAATCGAAAAATTGAAAGCCTGAATTAACTAAACAAAATGGCCTTTACAAAAAGCCAGGGAATCAGACATCCTAAGAGCAGATCTAGGAATAAGCCAAATTCACCTTCTCCCAAGTTCCAGACACTGCCTGTTTGCAGTTTGAAAAGGATTATTTGCTGGCCAGCTTAGAGGGCTCTTTAGATTATTTTTGCTCTCGTGACCTTCATTTCTCCTCCAGGACAAAGTTGATTTTTCTTTTCAATGAGCTATACTCCTTTCTCATTTGTGACAATAGGGGACTGAAATCTTGACAATAATGAAAAAAGTTGTAAAAGCTAGTATTTTTATAATCACTAGTGCTTCCTGAGCCAGAACTGGGAAAGGTAGGAGTTGAAAGCACAGAAGTGTTTGAACAGCAGCATTTACAGTTCTAGATTTCCCATTTCTGCACAAGTGAAGCCATTTCATGGTGGTGTGGAGCCTCTCCATTGGTGCAGTAGGGAGTCACCCAAACCTGTGATTATGACCCTTTATAAACAGAAAAATCTCAGGATTTAAATAGCACTGTTTGTTCCTTATATTAGCAGTGAAGATTCATGCATTAGAAAGTTTTATTTTCATTTTTTCCCACTTTCAGATCAAACTTCAGGTATTGAAACTTCCAAATAGCCTATTTGTTTACCCTTTGTATGTGAGGATAGCCACTGTATATGAGCACAGATGGGAGTTGAGGTCGAGAAAGGGTTACACCCCAAATCAAGGAACATGTCTTTACCAGAGAAGCCACATGGAATGGTAAGGAATGAGGTTCTCGTCACTGCCAAGTGCTTGCTTTCAGCAAATATTTCGGCTTCTTTTCATATTGAATACTAGTTCACATCAGTATGATGTAAAAGCAAGTACCAGAGGGAGAATTTGAATGCAACAGGACACAATCTCAATCCTCTGTTTTATCCAGTGTTACACTTAATTCCCAAAAGATCGAGCCCACCCATGGGCATTTGGCAAAACAAGTATGAAGGCCTGAATCTAAATTTAAAAATTAATTACATCAGTTTAGAGAGGCAGAGCAGCAAGTGTAGGTGATAAAGCAAAGTGGCCAAATGACCCCAAACCAAGTAACCTGCTCTAGCAGGAAGGGCAGCTAAACCTTGAGAGAGGTCTATACCTAAGAGAAATCTTAGGAAAGATCCTCAGCAACTTCTAACAGTCTTAGTCTGAGAGAGAGAAGGGCTTAGTCTGAGAGAGAGAGAGTCTATTTCAGAGGGCAGAGGGACAGAAATGGCAAGATGACATACCACTACTCTTAGAAGAAAAGTTGCTCACTGATGGAAGAATAGGTTCATCACCCATGAAAGAGATTAAGAGATCTAACATTTTACCCCATGGGGGATTGAAAAGACCAGGTTTTCCAGAGAAAGGGAGTCTTTGTAGATCACCATATTCCTTTTTTTTTTTAAAGATTTATTTATTATTTATTTATACAAGCACTGGGTACAGTCAGAAGCGCGGGAGGATGAGAGAATTCACCAGAGCAGAGAACAGAACAGGCAGACTGACGAAGTACACTGCTGAGGGGAGCAGCAGGTGGCAGGAGAGGTCTGCGCACCATATGGGACCCTCGCCCAGCAGCAGGGAATCGAACCAGTGCTGCGGAGGCTGCGGGCAGGTTCGCAACCCAGCGCTCAACCATTGCACCACTGGGGAGGCCCCTCACCATATTCCTTTTCTCTTCCCTGGTCATTGATCTTTAAAAGCTGTACTAACACTGACAAACAGACCCCTCCTGCCAGGAGACGGGACATGTGTCTAGGCAACCAGGGGGTGAACACGCACCAGGGATAGAAGTGCTGGCAGTTAAACTCAATTACCTGCAGGATCTATTCCATCATAGATAAGGTATGACTTTAAGTTGTTTTCTGAAATGCTATAGGATGGTTAGGATTCCACACAGCAGTGAGACTACTTCATTTCTTGATTTAAAACAGGAAAGCAATAGAGGCAACAAAGACTCCTCAATTAGTTGGGGACCTAATTCCCATGTAGCTGCTTTCATCAGGGATTCCAAAAGCTGGCTGCAGATTAGACCCAGGTGGGGAACTTTTGATATCTTGCCACCCCCAAGAGCTTCAGGGCATTATTATTTTTAAAAAAAGCTTCCTAGACTATTGTACTATCTAACTGAAGTTGAAAACCATCATCATTCAAATTCACTGAGTGCCAAAACTACAAATTCTGCAAGTCAAAGATGATATTCTAAGAAGTAAATTCATTTAACAAAACTGTTCAGTGTGCAGGTGCTGGCGTTGGACTATCTAGCTCCTTTGCTTACTAGCTGCTGGTCAATTCTGGACAAGTTACCTAACCTCTCTGTTCCTCCCTTTTCTCATTTGCAATAAACAAATAATAATAGTGTATCTTTGATAAGATAGTTATGAGGATTAAATGATGTAGAAGAAGTGCTTAGAACAGCTACTAGCACCCCATGAGCATCCAATGTGTATTAAATATTTCTATTATTGTTATCATCGAGTATAGCATTACATCATTATATTCATATTTCATTTGACATATTCAAACAGTAGTTGTAGCATGCAGTTCAAATAACTGTTCTAAAATCATATCTCCATGAATATGAATGAAGCATTGAAAGTAATTATTCATTTCACCTAAAAGCACAAGTTCTCACATCATGCCTCCAAAAAACACATTGTTTATTCTATTTTCCTTGGGAACCATCCAGGTCCCCGAGGATGGAGATGAATCCTTAAAATGAACTGAAAGTAAAACGTAGCCCTGCAGGACTTCTTTCTGCAGCACACAGACTGAGCCTCAAGCCTCTAAGACTAAAATGAATACAGTTAACATGCTATATATGTTTTACCCTCTTAGATCTCCTACATGGTCAGAGTAAGTGACAAGACGTCCTTTCAGAATGCCAAAGAGATGGAAAATGCTGCCATCGATCCCGAAGACAAATGGCATCAAAGAGCCCAACAGCTAAAGGTTACCTGCTAGATTGCATTTTAAGTGTGTTTCAAGGGTTACTGCTGAATACAAGTAATGTTCGTGACTGACTTCTTATCACTTAAGGGTCTATTCTTATGCCTACCTCCCTATGGGTTGGCCTGGCTTCTGCCCAGATAAGCCAATGCTTGCTCAGCCAACTCTGTTTTTCCAAAGGTTCTGTTTCAGGGAGGAAACTCATCCTATCACTCTTTAAACATACAGAGTTAAAAGCCCTCACAGAAGAAGAGCATGGAGAAAACACAGGGGGGCCGAAAAAAATCACAGATACAAAACATTGGCCAATTCTATGCTTCTCTGAAGTCTGTTTCCTTTTGGAGTTAGCAGTTCCATTGTATGTCTAGGTGATGGGGTACATGTGCCCAATAATGGATATCCCACAGAATCATCCTTCACAGAATAGGAAAGTCTACTAATGAGCACTGAGCATAAAAACATCCTTTTCTGACACAGAAAGGTGTGCTACTTTGACATCATAAGGTGGTTTCAGGGCAGATTCTTGTGAAACTATTCCCATTGACTGCTTTTCCCAGAAAAATCAGGCAAAGCATGAGCAGCTGATTTCTGCTTGAGCCAGTGTATGGATTTATGTGGAGCTGGTCACTCTTGGGCCACGTTTTATCCCTGCTTAAGAAGGGATGAGCCCTTGGAAATCACTGAAGCCTATGGACACTATCATTTAAAATTATATACATATGGGGTAGCGGGGAGTAGGATCAAGACAGGGGGTGGGAATAATATAGGGACTATAAACAAGAGGAAAATGCATACATTGTGCAAAAATGAAAAATGATGTAAAAATATATAAAATTTAAAAAATTATATACAGTGGTAACAGTAGTAAAACAATAAAGTTCACTCCATTTTCAGAGAAGTTGGAAAAGAGGGAGCACTCAAATCATCATCTTCCCTCCCCAGACCACTCTCAGAATTGTAAAAGCAGAAATAAAAGCTGGAGTGCACTAGGTCTCCAGAAATCAGGTCTAATGCTCGAGAGGCCACACCCACAAGTTGAGAGGATAGGAACAGAAATGGGGCCAGAGGACAGGTTATGACACCAGGGCTGAGTACCTGATAGTGAGTCTGGGGAGGTTGGCCAGTAAGATGGAGAGGACAAAGGAAATGCCTTAAGGCTCACTGTGTATTGTAGACAACAGGCTGGATCCAAAGACATTAATTTCTGGGCCTTCACCAACCATTTACTTGCTGAATAACTTTGGGCAAACTTTCCCCAAGTCTTCAGTTTCTTCTTTAGTAAATCAAGGGCTGGTCAAAATGAACCTACAAGGTCTATGCCAACTACAAAATGCTATGGTTCTAGGACCTTCTATTTCTTGTTAAACTATTTTACAAAACACATTTGAAGTATACACAATTTTTATAGCTTAGAGCTATCATAAGGAAAATTATAGTATTCCTGTCACCAAGGAAAATTATAGGATTCTTAGGCAATAATAAAATAATCAAGGTCAAATCACAGTCCTTGATGCATGGCATGGCCCTAGACAGAAGCAGCCAAAAAAGAAAAAAAAAAAAAAAACTTTGGAAGAAAATCAGAAGACAAAAGAATGCTGCTTATTCTCTGTGTAGACTAGAACTCATCTGTTTATAACCTGTTCCACAGACAGAGATCAAAACATCTAAAGATTGTTAGTCCTAAAATCACAGCAACAGAGTAGACAAGCAATGGTTTCCTTTCTTTATTCAGAAAAGATCCACTCACTGCCCACTGCCTCAGACACACGGGGTAGACACTTATACACAAACACTCCAGGTTGCCTCTTTCTCCCTTCAACTATCCAGATCTGATGCCTTCTCTCTGTCCTCTCTCCTGCACAGCTTTCCCAGCCTTCCCCAGACCCCATGCTCAGGACCTCTCTTCGCTCCCACTGTACCAGCAGTTCAGAACATTCCCTCAAGGCTCAGCATATTTGGCCTTGTCTTATGAGCTGCTTTTGTACCAACTTTTGTACACCATAAGCACCTGGAACACTTAACATGGCACTTTTCCCATATCACCTAACACGGCTTTGCCCAGGGTTGATGCCCAGTAAGTATTTTCTAGTTGGTTGAAGAGACCTTTAAATGTCATGTCATCAGTCTGCAAGTGAAAATAGATTACATTTGAAATTGTATTCTTGCAGGATGACTTTCAGAGAAGATAAATATCCCTCGATAAACCTACCCTAATAATGGATGACTCTAATAAGGGATCAAAATAATTCATACAAAAATATTTACTACTGAGTATTTTTATTATAGTCCAGGTACTGGGAATTAGATGCCAGGCCAAAAGCCATGGCTGTAAATAAATTAAAAAAAAAAAAAACCTCTGCAAAAAAAAAAATAAAAGTGAATGAAAAAAACTTTTTAAAAGTTCCCTACCCTCTGGGCCTCCCCAGTGGCGCAGTGGTTGAGCGCTGGGTTGCGAGGCTGCCCACAGCCTCTGCAGCGCTGGTTCCATCCCCGGCTGTCTGCTCCCCGGCCACCGGAGGAGGGTACCACATGGCGCGCAGACCTCTCCTGCCACTCGCTGCTCCCCTCAGCAGTGTACTTCGGTCCTTCTGCCTGCTCTGATCCCCGCTCTGGCTCTGGTGAATTCTCTTACCCTCCTGCGCTTCTGACTGTACCCAGTGCTTGTATAAATAAATAATTAAATCTTTTAAAAAAAAAAAAAAGTTCCCTACCCTCAAGGGGCTCAAAACTTTAGTAGGAAGACAGTGATGTAACCATTACAAAGCAATAACCATTACAAAGCAATAGGTACAAAATGCAGTGGTATTAAAGAAAGCATTAATTCGGTCCTAAAAAGACAGGAAAAGACAGAGAGAGACAGCATTCAAGTGACCCTAGAAGGATGAATCAAAATCTGCCCAGCAGAAAAACGAGGGCAAAGACCTGAAAGTTTGAGAGAATACAGTACTCCAGTATCAACCATGGGCCAGTAACTGACCAAGAAGTGTGAGGGAGAAGAGAGGTGGGGTGGGCGCAGCACAGGACCATGAAAGGCTTTTCAAGCACTGGCAAATTTGAGCAGGCTAATGACATAATCTGGTTTGCATGCTAGAAAGTTCATGCTGGCCCTGGTCTGAAAAATAGATTAGAAGGAAATAAGATTAGACAGTCAGGTGACCTTTGCTGTGGTTTCCACCCAAGAGGATGAGAGAACATGGCCGCAAAGTGGCAGCCTTTGCTCCGTCACATTCCACCTACAACTAGTTCACTTTTCAGCATAGTGGCAGTGTCTTCCTCCACCAACTGGATTAAACTTCTTTCTGGTCAGGACAGCCTCAGACCCCCCTCTGCCCCTGCCTAGAGAGGGTCAGGAAGTGCAATTAACAAGCTAAAAAGTTGCTTAAAGACATGGAGAATAGGGGAGAGAGAAGCAGAATGGTTTCTAGGTGTCTGATTAGTGGCATCAGTCTGCAGAGGGATGAAAGGAGGGCCTGGGCCCTGGGGCTGGCAGGGAGGACTTGAGGTCAGGGGTGGGTTTGATGCTGAGTCTGGAGGTGCCAGTGGGGAAGAGGCATTTGATCTGAACATGGAACTCAGTTAAGAATTCACTGGTATGTTGAGGCTGTGGGAATTGCCACCATGCCCCCTGGAATTACAGGTTATAGAGAAGAGAGGAGGGTCAAGAACAGAGCCCTGGAGAGAATGGAGGAATGTTAAGGGAAGTCAGAGAGGCAGAGAGCAGAAGGTGAAGACTAAGAAGGAATTGCCAGAGAGAGAGATCCTTAACCAGTAAACATCAGTGGTTACTAGTAAAACAGTTAACCAGGGAAAAAATAGAGTGGGGGGACCCTGAAGAACAAGCTTTTAAGAAAGAGGCATCAGTGAACAGTAGCAAACTGCAAATAAGTAAAAATGAGCCACAAAAGGGAGGTGATATACATGACTCATATGCAAATCTCAAATGAGTCAGAAAAAAATATATTATTTTTGTAATATTTATATAACTTATATTAATGCAAGCAATATAAATGAAAAATATATCTATTTGTGTGTCTACCTGTATATACAGAGACAGCAAGAGTGATGACATGTGGCAAAATGTTAAAAGCTGGGGAATTGATAAGGTATCTGAGAATTCTCTGCGCTACTTCTACAACTTTTCTGTTAAGCATAATTTTGAAGGGTGAAACGATACCTCTGAATCATATGAGGTTTTATACATCAATATTAGTGCAATAAAAAGAAATACAATTTTAAAATAAGTAAACTAAGAACAAAAAAAAAAAAATAAGAGGTTGAGGAAAAGATGCCCATGGGATTTAGCAACGTTACCGGTGTCCTGAGCAGAGGCATATCAGGGGATGGTGAATACAAGGGCATGTGGCAGGTGCAGAGGTCAGGATGAAAGATGGAGAAATGAAAAGCTGTGCAGTCTATACTTTCAAGATGCTTGGCTGTGTATTAAGAGATAGAGTTTATAATTATCCACTGATGAGAGCGCTGATAATAATAATGATGACAAAGAAAAATAAGGTCAAGAGGTTTAACACAAGGAAAGAGATGGAGGAAGATGAGCCAGAATGTAGCCCTGGGAAGAAATCAACCTCCAAGAGAGAGGAAAGAGCAAGAGAGGACATCCTATCTGGCTTTGACTTGAGCCTTATGTGTCTTTATTTTCTTAGCTGAATCTATTCAACTCTTTTGATTAAAGAAATAACATTTAAGAAAACAGAGACAGAGTTTAACAAGAGACTGAGATTAGCCGAGGGATTTTTTTTTTTTTAAATGGGCAAGACCAGACACATTTACATGCTAAAAAGAAAAAGAAACTAGACAGGGGACAATGAAAGAGAATATATGCAGGGGAGAAAGTCTCCCAGATAATTTAAGTCTTTGTGTTTTCACTTGTAAAATATTGACAATTGATGGTCATCTTCATTTTCTATGTAAGAGTCTTCTACGCACCTGAGATCTTTACTTCAGGCCAAGAAATCCCTCTTCACTTAACCTCTCCACCTATGTCCTGAATCATTCTGTGCTCTCCTGTTGACTTTTCACAGGTTTTCCAAATCCCATCACCATTGTGCACCCGGTACTGGATGCAATATTGACCCCTGCTGGCCAGGTCGAGCAGCACAGCCCACTAGCAGAAGACCCTCAATAGACAAAATAGAAAGTTCCACCATTAAGCAAGCCTTCACAAAGATGAAATAGGATGTCTTCTTTCTTGCCACTCTAAAATAACTCTTGATTTCCAGGCAAGGAAAAAGAATGGCAGAGTGAAAAGTATGTATGATTTTTGACTAATTAATGTCAACGCGCTGTCATCACACCCTAAGGAATCCTCCCACCTTACCAAACAGTTAATTTGATTTTAGCTCCAACCCTATCAATAAATCTAGGCTTCTTTAACTCATTGCAGCATACACTGCTTCCTTGCTGATGCTGAAAAATGAAAGCCACTTAATATGCATGTTGCAAATTTGCTGAATATAATCAGATGAAAGTTATAATCCAAGCTCAAGGTACCACTTTATTGTTAACACAAGAGAAACTTCACATTAGAGCTGGTCTTGGAGCCCAGGCACGACCCTCAGGACTCTGGGGTTGGTCAAGAAACGAAAATCAAGAATGGCTTTTGTTTTACAGCAGATGAAGTTTCTGGTTGCCTCCGAAGCGCTGGTTTTCCCCTTTGCTCTTGCTGCAGAAACAGAATTGTGGTAAAAGAGAAACAGCCGGGCGCTGCCTTTCACGGGGTTGGGGGCAAACTTCCCTCGGACGGCACAGTATGAAGGAACATTAATAACTAAGAACAGGTCTTACTAAGAAATTATCAACCCAGCATTAGGCATCAGGATTCCCGAGAGGAGCGCTCCTTTAGCCAAAGGGCCCCGCTCTGCATGTGCCGGGAAAGCCACCACCATTAAGCAGTTATTCTGAGTGCATGTAGTACGGACTGATTGCAAGTGTGGGTAACAAAAGAACCCCAGTGAGAGTGGGATGAAATAGAGGATTTCAGTGCTGATGGAGATTAAATAGCCTGAGAATGGCTTTGTATATTAACTTCAGGGGACTCGGGTCTTGCCACCTAAAGAGTGACACCTTATGCCTCAATTGTGGGGTAATAAATCTTCAGTAAACCCACAGATCTCAAGTAGGCTGCTTGGAAGGTGAGAGAAATCACATCAAGCCCCTAAATGTCTTCCTTTCTTGGAAGTGAAATGGCATCTCTGGGCACTTACGTGTATGTGAATAGCAGATTTAACACTTGAGACAATTGAAGTTTCATAAAATGATGAGCTCTTGGCCCTATTGACAAAGCACCCTGTGAAGAGTTCTCTTGCAAGCGAACTGTCAGCAGCAAAGGTGTAATGTGATTAAAACCAAGTGGTAACCCAAGATTTCGGGCCTGGTATCCCAGGGGGGCTATCTTGATAAATTTTTCCCTTTTTGGTGGGGATAGGAGAGTGGAGAGAGAAAAGGACAATTGACAACAGCAGGAAAAGAGTTCTTGGTCATTTAAAAGTCTGAACAAATGTTGGAAAGAATGTCATAATCAGTATGAACTGATGCATAGATGGTAACCAAGGGGGTCTTTTTGACCCTAGTGAACACACCAATGAGACTGTTTCATGAACACACCCATGAGATTATAAAATAACACATTTCTTCTGGCTCTACTACCAGAAGCATGCGCTCGCTCGGGGCTATTTGCAAAACCTTCATCCTACATTTCCCCCAGGCAGCTCAAAATACTGCATGGGAGGGAGAACCTTTCTCAATTGAAAGACCAGGAAGGTTTTCTTTTTGGAACAGCACAGGTGAAAATGAAGTTTAGAGGAACTAACCAGAACCTGACCAATCCCTCCAAAAGCTCAAATTCTACAGAAAACATACTCTAAATTTCAAATCATAAGTTATACATTCTTATTTCAAAATTTGATCTAAGGAAAAAAAATTAATGAAAAAAATCTGATATAAAAATACCATGTATATCACTGCTTTAAATCTAACGATGTCAATCTTTCCATTATAATGAGATTTCACTAGCAATAGAAGGCCTCTCAACATTCTGAGAATAGGATGAATCTTAGCAATTGTATCAGAAATGTGAAGCATAAGTGGAACTCATAGCAGTAATTTGGTCGTTCTGTGTAGCAAGCAAAAATGTGATTTAGTCGAGATTTTTCTTCTCAAATGACCCAGGTAACTTGCATTTTTCAATTAACATTTCATAGATGCAGGCCACAGAGATTTTTTGTGTGTGTTCAGAAAGGGGAAAAGTACGTCCCATTAGGTAATACACTGGTGCATATGGTACCTTACTGTTTTCAGTAAGCATTTAATCATTCTTTCCAAAGACCTCTTAACTCGGCTAGTTTTTCACAAAATAATGAGTACTTTATTCCTTGGAAAATATGTCTAAATGGCTTTCGCACAATATAGTTACATAGTGTATCTATTATACCAAGAGTACATTTTGTTGTTATAAGACTTTGAAAAGCATAAAGACTGTTCTGAAATTGAAATATCCCCCAGATGTTTGATTGCCTAAGTACAGGCTATATTAAGGAACAGAAGCAAAACAACCCTTGTGGTCTCACAGATGTCCTATCACAGGCAGACTCTCTTAAAACCCTCTGAATAAAATCTAATTTGTTTCATCTGGTGAAGGGGTCATTTCTAGCTTCTGACTTTTATGAGTAAGAAGATCTGATCATCTGAATTGTATTTCATACTATACTTGTACTTAGTCAGTAAAGCAAATCATTGATGTTCTTCCTGCTGAATATTTTTTTTAAATATTCATTGTGGTTCAAATAAGCTTACATATTTGGATGTAGATTTGTACGTTTTTTGTAAGAAGTTCCTTATCTTTAGAGGTAAAACTCTTTTCTCCCCATGTGGTAGTACTGCATTTTAAGTATTTTAAGTCAAGGCTTTTCCTTAATAAAAATCCCATTTTAAGCTCTCTATTTCTGTCTAGAAAATGTGTAACCTAAAATGGCCAGGAAGAATTATTCCAATAACCACCCTAATTGCTGGAAATTCAGAAAGGACCCTCTGTCCTCTGATCTTCTTTCAATCCCATGGTAACCTGATTAGAAGTTTCAACTCCCAGTTTGAAAAAGCCTTATTTAAAGTTGGTGAAGCATGCCTTATCTTTCAATTTTACATTAAATAAAAATATCTTTTTAGAATTACCAGGAACAGTGGTCTCAACAGGAAAGCACAAAATCCAACAATGGACTAAGAGGCCAATCTTCTGAAACATCCAATGGCCAGCAACCTTCCAGAAGACGAGCCAAGCACAAGATTCGAAGACGGTATGAACATTACAAAAACCTCAAGTCTTTGGTGACTGAGGAGCCAGTAGTCAGTCAAGGAAACCAGAATAACAATCTCCAGCAGCAGCAAAATCAAAATAAAGCCATTGACACCTCAGCAAAGCATGAAGCTGTTGTGATGGCAAATGCCCCAAACAATGACGTACATCAGTCGAACCCTCTTAGGAGCCAGGATCCCAAAGTAACCTCCGATATATTTGCTCCACCAAAGCAGGCTTTTGACAAGGTGTTATACAAAAACACTGTTGGCTATCACACAATGAATGTTAATAAAGAACGAGCACGCAAAGACCAAGAAGGGAAGAAACTTTCCTATCAGCAGCTCTACCTCGACACCCTTTCTAACATGGACTTGAATCACCTTAATGAACTTTCTAAGAGACAGGTGCCCCTGAGACAGAAAGACACTCAGTCTGTCTCCAACATAAACATTAATGGGCCAACTCAACAGAAGAAGCAACCCAAACAGACTCCTGCAGAGACAAGATACAAGAACTTAGAAATACTATGGTAAGAATTCCCTTTTCTCAAGTGATTAGCTAGGGAAGAAATGAGACCCTGATGAAGCAGGAGAGACAACATGGGAAGGGGGTGTGGAGGTTGTCAGGTGAGAGGGAACCATTCACCTAACCACGTCCTTAGCTGTGATTTATGCCTAAAATAGTACGCGTTTCTTCTTCCCCATTACATCTACTTTTCCACAGTGGTTAAACCAGATGTTGGCAGAAGGGAGGGATTTAGGAAACCCAGTAAAAGAGATCTGTATATTCTGAAGTTTGCAAATAATGTTGGGGGGAAACAAATGATCTCCAACACTGTAACAGCCTATCCTAATAACCTAAAATATGCACAAAATATCATTTTTAAAAATGACAATAATCTAAAAATTTGATTAACTATGATATTGAATATCATGTAGCCGTTATAAATTATGATTAGGAGGAAATACAAATAAGATACAAAATGACACATGAAAAAAAAATGCGCCCAAATGTCGACAGTGACTATCTGTGGCAAGAGATTGGGGTTATTTTTCATTTCTTCTGTTGTATATTTTGAATCCTTCAGTTACTACAATGTTGATATATTACTTCTATAATCAGGAAAAAAAAGTCATTTTAAAAACCACTTCAGGGACATTATTTGATGTCATTCAATCAAATGCATCCCTCCTCTAGGATCATGTTTAATTTCCTGGTGCTGGATTTCCATGATTATGTGAATAACGTAACACTGAACCCCAAATACTGTCCCATAGTAATTCAGGGGCATACTTTTCTGATTCAGAACCTACACCAAGACAGATAGGCTTATAGGCTTGCTTTGTTGTTTCTCATGGCTAGTGAGTGAGTTTTGCACAAATCCACCCCTTTCTGGTGTGGTTTTTTGTTGTGTTTTGGTTTTGTGCTGTTTTGTGTGTGTGTGTGTGTCACTGTAGTTCTTTGAGGGTCACAGCCTTTATACAGGCATATCAGCTCTGATTCTCTGCCTCATACAGGGCCAAGATCTTGTTTCTCCTGTACCAGCATCAAGTGTTAAAACCCAAGCTCTTGGATTCAAAACCTGCACAAAGAAATCCATAGCTTCATTTTATCCAAAGTCGGCTTAGTTTTAGTTCCTTTTTTAAATTTCTGACCTTTGAAGATTCCCTGCCTCGCTCATAAATCCAACTATGTATTTTAAAGTCTGTTTATTTAATTTAATCCAACATTCCCAGGTCTTTTGTAGTGGGAAAGACTTTTATTTATTTCCTATTAGTATCTTTTCTATCCTGAATGTGCTAAATGAAAGGTCTCCAAAATATATTAAAGAAACAAAGGAGACAATTTGAAGAAGTCAATATATTTATGATAAGGTTAAATCCAAGCTCATTCATTTGATCTGGGGAGCAAGAAATACATTAGCATAAATCACTTTCGGACCATTTATCTGATCATTATACGTATCCAGGTTGTAGTAACAGATCTGAACTTTTTTTATCCCGTCAGGAAATTCCACTCAACCTCAGACCAACCTGCTAGAGAGTCTCCAGATTCGCGGCTGGCCGAGATCATGGAGCAGCACCAGCAGGCCTTGATGCAGCTGACGGAGGTGCAGCCCAGCGACGGGGCCTCATCCAGCATCACATTCCCACCTATTCTGTCAAGGGTAGAGAGTGAGTCCCAGCTCAGTTCAGAGAGAAGCCAAAGGAACCAAGTGAAAATTAGTCGTAGCAATTCTGAAGGCTATCTGTTACAACTGGAAAAGGGAAAAAAGCATAGGAAAAGAAGCGGCACTAAGGTATGGAAGCATTTTTATCAAGTAACCTTTTAATTTGGGGAGTACTCTGGTTGACATTCCCCTTGCTCTAAGCCTTGGAGCTGGTGGGTGCGTTCACAGTCTCTGCCACTCCGGGTGGACCAAGGTCCTGAGGAACTTCCTTGCTGGAGCCCCTGCTATTTCCTGGAGGTCTCTTTCTTCCTCCTGGAAGCTGTTGCTGCCACAGATGCCCATCTCCACCTCCTTATCTCAGGAAGGGTCCTCCTTTGGGTCATCACACTCTCAGGAAAGACCCCATACCCCATCTCAACCCCATCTAGGCTGAGTCACCCCAGATGCATTCTCACTCCCAAGAAGAGGGTCGAACGAGCAAAATGCCCTATTGCCACTGCCATCTTCCTTATCTCCCTCTGTCTCTCTCTTCTCCCCTCCCCAAGAGCTCCTCTTGACCATAATCTCACCTCAGCTCCTACAATAAAACGAATACTAAGGAGAGCAATGACTTAGCTTTCTTCTGAAACATTGGCTCATCTTTACTGAGTTTCTCTGTCTGCGATAAGATTCACCATCACTAGCACCTCTGTGAACAAATTTTTCCATTAGCTCTTCTGGTTTGTAAGGGGAATATGAGGGACAAGGTCACAAAATGGAATGTTTTCAGGAAGAAACAGGTGTATTTCTCTAGGTAATAAAAACTCCTTAGTAAAGATGATTTTCTGCAAGGAGGAAAACAGTAAGGAGAAGGTGCAAAATGTAGTCTGTTTTATAGGGCAACAAGGAAAGACCTGGCTGGAAGCAAAAGGCCTGCGGTGACTTGGGTTTCCCAGTAAGAGATTCTGAAATGGAGGCCTACGTGCTGGGGTAAGAAGATACGAGGCAAAAGGATCATGAATAAAGGAGACACTAATAGGGAGCTTTGGACCAAGAAAAAAGGGTTGTCTTCTCCTTGAGGGGGAAGCTAGACTAGAATGGGCAGTAGGTTGTAGCATAGGGAAAACAAGGAGGACTGGCTCAGGGCTGCAATATGACCTCAGACATGCAGCCAAGAACTCAGCTCACCCACCTCAGCTACCCACATACCCCATCCTGGGGTCCCTGCTCCCTCAGCCATCCATGTTGCTAGGGTCCCTAATCCTTGTCCAGGCCATGGAAACCACTATCAGCGGCTTGAAGATGGAATAATCCTCAGTTTCACAATAAATAAGAGGAAATGGTGTTTCTAGGATCATAAATAATTTTTTTTTTTTTCACCAAAACCACCACATGGTAGTTGGGTTCTGAGGCATGCTTAGTACTAGCTTCAAGTACTTCCTAAATAGGTTTTATAGACTAGACCGGGAAGCCAGACACCATGCATGCTATCAATATTATTCCTACAGGGAAATGTATTCAGCGCTTTGGAACCATGTTCGCAGGTGAGGACGGCCTGTTCACTCGGAGCTTATGTATTGCCAGGACCTAAAGCACAGCTTGAACACACTACCTCAGAAGAAAACCTCCTGATTCAGGGTTCTTGCCAATATGGTTTGTTGAAAACACAAGCTTTTAAACTCAATTCTCGGTGAGGAGGGTTTAATGGAAGTCATGGACTCTGCCATCCCCAAGTTCTCATCTCTGCTCTATCTCTTAATAACTAACTCGGTGATATGGGCGAGTTATTAACTCACCGGAGCTCTGTTTCCTCAGAGGCACAATCAGAATTGTCCTTTTTTGTAGATCTGGTGTAATAATAAAATATCAACAGCTCCACTTGGCCCCTAGCAAATAATGAACATCAACTAAATTTCCCTCCACCTCCTCTTAGCCATTGAATTCATATCTTACTGAGAATAGAGGGGGGACGTGGCAGAGACAGCATGTGTCCCCAGAAATCTACAAGCAAGGGTGGGAAGGGGAAGAGAGAGGGCATCCAGTTTCTGCTTCCCAAATCCACTTTCAACTTAGAAAATTACTTGCTTTCTGTCAGGAATGTCACAATCCCAAAGTCTCCCCTCTCCTGTTCTAATGCCTCCAGCCTACATCTGACAAAGCACACAGAAGCACTCTTTGTCTTGTAAGTTCTTCCAGAAGCTAAAATGACTTAGAAGTGAGCTATTTGTAAGGGACAGCAGGTAGCCGGGGCACCAGCAGAGGGAATCATTAGCCAGGTCATGCCCATTTGCTGGTCACAACCAATCTTTTGGTTTCCAAGGGAATTGACTTGAATCACATTAAAAATTTGAGGATTTGTGAAGATAATAGGCCCCAGCGCCCTTCCTTCTCTCCTGGCAGTTCTGTGGTGGCTGATTGATGAATACTAAGCATTGTCCATCGCCAGAAAATCCAGACATTAGGCAGGGCGAAATCAACGCAGGCCAAGGGATGACAAACAGTATAAAAATATCTGTCACCATCCGCCACAAAAATCACAGCTTAAGGACTTCTCTGTGCTGGCCATGCTGAGCTGGACTGCAGTAATTAACTCATGTGTTTGTGCTCACAGACAATCTGGCAATTGCTGCTTGACTGCTTCTAAGAAGAGGTTTATTTGGATTAAGTTTAGCAACCACAGAGCAAATTTCCTTTACTGGCTGGTCCCTGGGACTGGAGGCATTGTTTTTTGTCCTGTTTTTGAATAACTGTCTCACTTACACATCTGAGGAATGTTCTGGAATGAAGCCCTGCGGTGTCCCCCCCTGCAGCAGGCACAATATTTCAGAGTTGAAACAAGTTCCCATAAGACAGCCAATGTCATTTTCGATGCAGGCACACGCTACCCCAAGTTTACAATAAAAACCTCACTTCTGTATTGAGAGGTGTAGTTGATTGCTGCCTGAAGCCTTCCATGAGGACTGTCCTGTAGCATCCTGTGCTAAAGCAATCTATGGTGAGCCGTGGGAGGGGGCAGGCCTGGTCTTGGTAATCCTCAGATGGTCCCAGGGCTGGGTGAGGACAGCTAGGGTGCATCTCCTACAGAGACTAACAGTGATCCCCTCCCTCAGGGGTATGTTGAGGACATGTCTATGACTCCCTGCTGTGTTTGGAGACCTAATGGGACTATCATTGCTAAATTCTTTTTTTTTTTTTTTTTTTTGGCATAATGCTATTGTGACCTTTTAATCTCCTAACAGCCAAGGAGAGGTAAATCAAAGTAAATTCCCTGGATTATTTTACTATAAAAGCCTTTTGAACAGACAAAGTAGATTAGTGGTTGCCTAGGGCTGGAGGTGGAGTGGGGACAGTGATAATGGGGACAAGGTTTCTTTTAAGGGTGATGAAAATGTTCTAAAATTGGATTGTGGTGATGTTTGCACAACTTGAAGAATCTATTAAAAACCACTGAATTGTGCAACTTCATTTGTTATGGCCTATGAATTATCTCTCGATAAAGCTGTTAGGAAAGTCTCAGTGGAAAGAGATCAAACAAAATTGCAGGGCTGAGAACCAATCAAGATTACTTGAGCTAAACTTAAGTAAATCCAGGATTTTTCACTGCCAGTCATCCAGAACAAACTCCTCCAGGAGTCATCCTCTCCTTGGAGAAATGTCTCGTTGCTAGAAGTAGCTCATCCTGCTAGGGAGTCCATGGCATTTAGAAATAGCCCCTTTTAACCACATCCTTCTCTTCAGGTCACTATGTACTGCTAGATCCTGGGCTCTGTTTTCCTAGGACAGTCAAGACCTTGGCCGGACAGTCAAGACCTTGACAGTGTAAGAACGGAGGGGGGTCAGGAATGAGCAATTATTCATGCCTCACGATGTCTTGCAAGTCAGTGGAATAATTCAACGTTAAGCTGCTTCAGACTAAGGATGTGATTTCTGGGCAGTAATCATTTCATTCTCATCAGTTTTGGTCAAATTGGATTTATGTCTTGGCTAGGAGCAAGGTTCTTACATTCTTTCTCATTATTAGTTTACTTTGGCAGCTAGTAAGAGCGGTCACAAACCAGCGGTACAGATGGCAGAAGAGAAAGAATCAATTTCCAAATGTGAAAAATACGATCTCTGCATTCATTCACCTATTAAAAATGAGCAAGGATTTTTCAAACGGGGTAATACACAGTGTGATCAAGGTTTGGGCAACATGAGCACTGGTATACATCACTAATGGCAGTGCTCAGTATGACCTTGAACAACCTTGAACATTTATCACTTTTTCTCAATCACTCCACTTCTCTTCATTTATCTCAAAGAAACTACCAGTAGCCCATAAACAATACATGTCTCAAATGTTTGGAATTTAGAGGAATAGCTAAAAAATAAACCAAATTAGACAAAAGAACATTATGCATAAAAAAAGCATTTAATGACAGGAAATACACTAGAATGGTGTAACGCTCAACTGGTTAGTGGAGAAAAATATTTCTAGGTGGTGGACAATTTTATAGAAGTATAGGCAGAGAGAGGTAGAGGACAGGAAGCTGCCAGAGTGACTTTACTACATACAATGCCTCTTCTTAAAGGATTTCTTTTTGAAATGCCCTTCGATGGACTTTTCCTTTAAAAAAAAATTTATGTCTAAGAATATGATGATTTGAGTCCAAAGGTTTTAGAAAGAATTTTCTCTTACCTTTTAGAATTATATACACTGAAAAAGTTTTGACTATAAATCTTTAACGTTCTCTAGTCAGGTAATTCTATTTCTAGAATTTCTCATCCTTGCAGTACAGAAAGCAACTGAGATGTTGCTTTCAGCTACAAGTCACAGAGTGACCATTTACAGCATCATCAAAGATGTAGGCTCATGCTAAGAAACAAGGTCATGAAGAAAAGAAGTCATGGTGGATGCCACCGTTTCTCCTGCCGTGGGTCTCTCCTTTCGCAGACCTTCCCACAGGACTGTGTTGGGTCAGCTCCTGGAGGGTCACAGCCCCTGTGATCCATAGTGGCCACCATTAGGGTTAGGGAAAGAATCTGCCATTTTTACTGGAAAAACAAGAACTACTAATTCTGATGACTGTGTGATCTGGATTTGCTGAGCCTTTCTTTAGAGATCTGATATCAATTGCTTAAGAAATAAGGATGTTTTTGCTCAACCACAAACACATATGAAGAGGAGCATTTTAAATAATGCAATCTCTGAAAAATCAAGCTCTTGAACTCAGCAGACTAGATATGTTTGTGAATAAACCTAAGGCATGAATCCTTATTGCCTCTTTTCTGAAATATGGAAAAATCTATGGGTTTCATTCTTCTTACACAGGAGTCCACAAATAGGTAGTTACAAGCACTAGTGGTTCCATAGCTCAAAATATCAGAATCTGTGCTTGTATGATTCCTTTGTTGTTTTTTTTTTCTTTCTGTCCTGGCTTTAAAATTATTGCTGCAGCTCCATCTCTAAGGAATCACTTCCACATTGGAAATGAGATAAAGGGGAGGGAGAGGCAGGGAGAGGCTGTGCCAGCCCAAGTAAAAGCTTTCCAAGATGTGCCTGCAACCTACTCCAGCAAACTTGCACTCATGCCTCTTGGGCTAGGGCTCAGAGGTTCTGAGCCTCCACAGTGGGAAACAGTAAGAGAGAAGCTCATCTGTATGACCTCTGGGTATCAGTCAGTAGGCCATTGTGGGTAGAACACATCATTATAATGGTTCATGCGGCAAATGTGTACACACATGTCTCCATACGCTCATGTTTGTATATGTTCACTTCTAAGGGTTGGGAATCTTCAGTAACTACATCTCTTGTTGAAATTTTCTAAGTCTCTGGACTATCTCTGCCAAATTCTTATAAAAGGCATGCTAGCTGCACAGCATATCTTAAGACTTAATGAACAGGAGCTTACAAAATCTAGAAAAATACCATCTTCATCATCAGCACTACTGGGGTGTAGCCTGCCTACGGTGCAGAGTCTTCAGCAAGGCTGTTCTTTCTCAATCCCCACCTCCAACTTAAATGTGCTCTAAGGTCAATCCTTTCATTTTAACCATCTCTTTGGTCCTATCCTTCCTACCCTCCCCAAGGAAGGAAACCAAATGAATTCACAAACTCAAAGTAAAAAAAGATTTGATTTCCTCACAAGGGCATCTGCTGCAAGTAGCAAGTCAATTTTAATATCGAACGCAGCAGTTTGGGGAACACCTTTATGCTACAGTCAGGAGAGACCATTTGCATTTTTCCTGCTTATTTCTGCTCATGTCCTAACCCAATAATTAAATTGCCTCAAGAGGTTACTCTGTTCCCTTTAAATCTGCAATGGCTGGAAGTTATATGAGATTATTTGTACTCCTCAAAATATCCAAAAATCACACTGTATAAAATTAGTTTCTCAGTGGACCTTAACCCCTAAATGATTAACCCCTAGACTCTTAACCCCTAAATGTTTGCTTTCTTCTGACATCATTAGACAGGGCACTCTCTTTTGAACCCCTAAATGTTTACTTTCTTGTGACATCATTAGATAGGGCTTCTCTTTTGAAGCAGTATACTTACCTGATTCATTTCCATTGCTTCTCCCAAGAAAACCATTTAAGGCCCACAGCCTCTGCAGCGCTAGTTCGATCCCCGGCTGCCAGCGAGGGTCCCACATGGTGCACAGACCTCTCCCGTCATGCCCGCTGCTCCCCTCAGCAGTGTATTTCATCAGTCTGCCTGTTCTGTTCCCCACTCTGGCTCTGGTGAATTCTCTCACCCTCCCGCACTTCTGACTGTACCCAGTGCTTGTATAAATAAATAAATCTTTAAAAAAAAAAAAAAGCCATTTAACATGTTCAGCATAATAGTAACAGCAGCCACTCAAAGGGGTGATGTGTGTGTTCCGTTTATAATGTTAATAAAAAAAAAAAACAGCTCTTGACTCACTTGAAATGTTTATTTATAATTGTTAGAATTTACTTTTATTGCAGAAGTGGAAAAGTCAAACATGTTAACTAACCAGCTACACACAACTACCATTACAATGGAAGAATAGTTGGGAAAGGCACCCACTCTCCACAGTCCACAGCGACTTGCTGTCCTTCCTTCTCCCTTAACCTTTTCTTATGTGGCTGTGACAACTTGGGACATCCAGGTCCTTAGAAGAAACTGTCTCTGTGATTGTATTTTTAGAGTTCCAAGCTGAAAGGGTATCAGAAAAGAGACGTGAAGCTTGGAGGCCTTGGACCTGACCTTGAGTCCATCAGAGACAAAGTGAGTATGATGTTCATACAACAGCCTCACACTGGGCTTTGCCCATCTGTCCTTTAGCAAAACTGAATATAAACGCCCCCGTAACAAAGTCCTAATTCAAATGTCTCGCTCTGAATAGAGACCTTTCTGCAACAGCATTGGTTAGAGAGACCCAGACACTCCTTTTACCATGAAATGAAATTACTTAGCCAATGTGGCTTTATGGATCCACCTTTTAGTTTTGAAGGCCCAAACAGAAAAGAGGGCCACGTGTACATGAAAAGAGATGTGTATGTTATAGGGTTGTTGGTCTTTCCCAATAGAGTTATCTTGGTAATTTTGAAGAGTGGCTACAGAGAAGACACTTAGGGTAAGAGTTTCCCAACCCATGAAAAGTGCATCCACTTTATTCTCTTTCCTCTAGTGAAAGGAGATCTTCATTTAATGTGTTTTAACTGCAGTTGCACTCAAGGCATAAAAAGAGAGTATAGTTCAAAGTTGGAAGCAAAAATGAAAATAAATTGGGTAAATGCAACAAAGAAGGGGCTGAAAGTGATTTAGCCACTGTTAAGGGAACACTGGCTGTGCTGTTGCAGTGACGGTCCCCCTCCGAGAGACCCTTTCGAAGAGCAACAGGAATTTAACCATTTCACTGCCGCCTCCTTCCATGTGGCCACCCCTTTGCTCCCCCTTGTGCTGGTACAATGTGCCTCTCCACTACAATGAGGGTCACTTTAAATAGAGAAAAGAGGCTCAAACTGGACCTGGGAGGCATTGTAACTTTGTTTCTCTAAACAGATGCAGAAATTAATACAGCAAAAGGAATATGCAAAGCAGGTGAAGGAGCACAACATGAGGACACTATCCATTCTTTCAAAGCCACAAACAGCAAAAACCGAAAATAAATCTGTCATCCCCCGGCAGAAGGTAAGAAATTCTCACCGAAGCAGCTGTCTTTTCGATTGGAATGAAAAGAAAATTTCTGTTACCTCATCATTTAACAAGGTCCCCCAGCTTATACATAACACAAGGGATGTTTTAGCTATTGCCATTCCTGCAGCTACTCAACATTCATGGATGTCAATGTAAAAATGACACGTACACACAAATGATGCTGAAGGTGAACCTTATGTTTTTCTGATATTTGCTACTGTTGTTAGTCCTCAGCGTGTTTCCTTCCAAGTATAGTATTTCATGTTTGTCACACACACAATGAATATGGTGATTTCTTAGAAGAAACTAATCATCCTGATTAGCTATCCATTTCCTGCTCTATCATGAAATAAATTTTAACGAAATCCATGCCTACTGGCTATTTGAGTACTTATAAGCAAAGATTTTCATTGTTTCTCTCAAGTTCAAGTTCCCCTATCTGTTTCCAGAGGGATTGTCTATATAGATTCCTCTACCCAAGAAAAGTGATTTCAGCAAATACAGAATGTTCTCCTGCTCAGCTGTCATCAGACTACAAGTGGTGATGTGAAGGAAATACGCTCTGCAAGGGAGACAGAATGTGGCTGATTTGCCTCCGTCCCACTAAGGACATGGGACCCTTTGCATGAGGGACAAGTGACTCTTTTAGGAATTTGTACTCCGTGTTCTCTTTCACAGACCATCATATTTCCTCCCTATTGCCTTTCTTCCTCAGACCTTGAAGACCTCAATCCACTGGAGTTTCCATGGTGCCACTTTTTCTTTTTTTTCTCCTTAATTTTTTCATGAAGAGATTCAAGGCAACAAGTCTATGATTAGAAATTCCTACAGAAGTCACCTCCACACAGAGAAGTCTGGAGTTTTTTCTCCAGGACCTCAATATACTACCTATTCTTATTACAGCTTTCAATAAACTTATTAAAATATCATGCTGACATAAAGGGAGATTTAGATATTATGATCTCATTTGTATTGTAATTCAGAACTCACATCACTGGAGGAAACAAAACTGCCTTTTTTGCATATCCAGGTTTCTGTAAATACATTAAAGAAATCATTTCAGGGCTCCAAAATGTATGTTGCAGCATTCTAAGAGCCTAGAAACAAGAATAGTTGGTGTGATGATGGCGGCTCAGTTTTATATCACTGCCACAATGTCTTTTAGTCTCAAGCTGTAAAAAGTTCTTTTTGGATGGAAAGGTATAATATCTCCTAAGAAATTCTGTATTACTCCCAGAAGCTAAGCAAATCATATCCATGAGACACCTATTTTCAAACACTTGATCAAAAACTCAGTTTTATAAAGAAAATATCAGGCACCATTGTATGCATCAATCTGCAACTCCTGCTTTTTCCCCACAGCATAAGGTCATGTGGCTAATTTCTTTTGTTTAAATTGTGTTCTGTTGCATCACTCACATTTTACATTTGATCTCCCTTTCCACCTACGTCTTATAGTATGTTACTGTAGCAACCGTCTATTTTCCTAAGACTAGATGTAATTTAAGGAATCCAAGATGCACTTCCCATTTCAAATAAAATTTTCCCTTTATGCTTTTTTAGGCTTTGGAATATGCTAAGACGATCCCCAAACCCAAACCGTCAAATCTGACGGATCAAACATCCAAGGAAAAGAAAAATCCAAACTATGCTGGAAAAGAAGAAACTTTACCAGAAATCTCACTGCTGGAAATACTACAGAACAGACATGAAAGGGAAAAGCAGGCTGTGGCCGCTTTCAAAGTGCTTCACATTGTATAGGCAACACATGCAGAGGAGACCAAACTCCTGGAAATGGATGTGCAGTAAAGAAACTCCAACCAGCCACTCTGCTTGGAGGGAGATGACCTATTATCACCATAATTGCAGTCCATGCTCAATTCGTGTAAGATTTAAAATAAGGGCCCTATTCTCTTATGGTGTCATACTTACTTTCTAGGAAGAAATTTTTTTAAGTATTTATTTTCAAATCAGTTAAAATTTGGCCTGAAGAAGTAGGGAATAAAGTCTATTGTTTTATAATGAATCTTTTGATTTCTTAAACTATCTCCACCCTTCCTTAGAATAATGAAAACTCTGAAGCTGCCCAAAGAATAAGTTCATCTACTTGTGTTTCTCTTTCACCCTCTTGATAAGGAAAAATGAGTAAAAACACTCCAGTTTCTATTAACAGGAACTCAAATTGGGCTAATTCCCAGTCGATTTTGAGATACCATTTCTAAAATATTTCTAGATTTACCAAAGGGTTTATATATAAGATTGAAAACATAAAGGTACATTAAGATGTGCCTGTTCAAGTGGATCAAATCCCAATGTTGTCCAAATAGAGCATCAAGACATTCCCCAGGAATCTTCCAACAAGTCCAGAAACACCCGTCTCAGGCACCCTGGGAGCTACTTTCTTCAAGTGGCTTACTCCGAGTATACAAATCTGCTAGGCATCTTGCCGTCACACTCGTAAGCTGTCAAATGTGTGCTATCACACAAAAGAAGAGTAGATAAGACAAAAGCCTTCCACAATTTACTGCTGACTATTGCTTTACTTTTCTTCATCTTTTGGAACTGAACATTGTAAAATTTCCAGGTCTTAAAATAGCTGGAGGGTTTAATTTTTTTGTTACATGTTCTATTGCATTCTTAGATGGTCACATCCAGAAATAATTAGATTTAATAACTTAGGACACATCTGTTTACCTATACAAGTGGCATAGTTTGGAGATTTACTCTTATGTTGTCTCATTTTACATATACCATGTTGTGGTATACAAGTTCCTGCTATCTAACTTTCTCTTAAAGATGGAAGCAAGTAGAATTGCAGTTCTAGAAAGATAATAAGTATCTGAAAGTGAATAGAAAACTAGTGAAATGTTCCAATGATATTTAGAAGATCATATTAGTTCTGAAGACTTGTTTTAGGAAAATCACTGCCCACGCTGTTCCAAACAGCTATTTGAAAAAAAAAAAAAAAAAAAGGAAAAAACCATCAGGGTACATGGCGAAGACTTTTTTAGAAATATGAGATAGAACAATTTTTTTTTCCTAAGTGCTTTTAAATTTAAACTTATTCCAGAAGATAAAATAGTACAGATAGAGATTTCCACATTTTCATACTTAAAGGGGCAGGGTAAATTGCTTAAATATTCCATTTCTATTAGAAGATCTTAAAAAGATTTAGAGCTTGGAATGTTTTTTTCTTACCCGACTGCCAATTTTTCAGAAGAGAAAACATGTCAAGAAAGGACAGATGACTCTGAAATGGTCAGTCCTACTGATAGTTACGGGAGAGTAACTGATCTACACGCCAATCTTTCACACCTAATTATTCATGGAAGAGGTTTTTCCAAGCAAGAGGAATGAAAACATTAAGAATTTCAATTCTGGACCTGAACTTCCATCAAATTTGATTTTTAGAAATATGTACTACTCTATCATATTTGAAACACGTATCATCCAGCAACTTCATCACTACACTGATAAAGTTATGAGACATTAATAAAGCAACTCTGATGTTGCCTAATAAAAGACTCCATGTACAATTTTTTTTCCAGAGTATTAAAAGCCTTCCCATAATCATTTCTCAGTTAGCCTAAGCATTTTGAAATCCTTCAGGCACTTTCACACATACGGTCAAGAATCCATCCTTAGCAGAAGCAGGTCAAGGATCCATCCTTAGCAGAAGAATCCATCCTTAGCAGATTCAGTTGATGTCAAACATTACACAGGATCTTTATTACTACAAGTCTTTATCATCTAGTATATAAAACTCTAAAACATCAAGAGTTCTTGCACATTGAAAGTAATAGGCGGTATCTAAAATTACAAATCCTTAGAAAAAGAAAGACATATTTGCTGAAAGTTTGAGGTTGAAATAAAAAAATGGATCCAAACGGGCTTTTTTCTAGCCCCAAGTCATCCCAGTGGTGGGATTCCATGTCAGAACATCCCTCAGCTATACCAGGATGGGCTTAAGATTCTGCACCTATACCTTTTTGCTCCTTTAAATTATACTAATAACAATATTGATATTTGATAGATCCAAGTGGATTCATGATCAATTTTTATGGTACTTGCTTCGTATTTTAAAGAAGTACAATCTGCCTGTTAGATAGAAGGGAACTTCAAGTTTGTGTGTGATTTTAATGATGGAGGACCTGTATTTGACCAGATGTTCCATTTGTCACAGAGACTTAGTGCCTAATCTGCCTAATCTCCATAGAAGTTGGTGTAAATAAAGGACCTTTAAACCACATATCCTCTCCTATTCTAGCCTCCTTTTTATGGTGTTTTTCCACCTCAAGTCTCCAACAAGAGCATCCTCTTACAGGGAGATTTTTTTCACAAGTAGCTGCATTTAATGACAGCCATCTTCATGACAGTTGTTTTGTATAGTAAGGGGTCTCTTGGGAATTATCTAGAAACCAACTCAAGGAAAGAAAATATTGAGGAACAATATAAAAGGTAGGCCTAGCAAAGACATGATGCCTAATCGTTCCAATTGGGGCCTTATTATTGGTTAATGAATGATTGTCAAAACATCACAGCAAGCATAAGCGTGCACGGTCTAGTCTACAGTGAGAAAATGACTCTTCATCCCAACAGTTATTAGCTGGGAGTTGTTTGCAAACACATCCAGTAATTATAATAACACTGAAGCTAATTGAGAACCTAGAGTTGATAGCAAATGGTCGACAATAGCAGACTAGATAAACTCAAGGGGGATTCTCTTTTAATTACTTATGGAAAAACAGCAGAAAATGAATTGAATGTAGGTGATAGTCTGCAGATATCAGGGCAAGTTTAGCTCATTCTTGCCAAGATGTGCTTCAAAACCTGCATTACCCTTATGTTAGAGGCAGCATTTGAAAATATAAAGTTCTTAAGGGGAAAAAAAAAAAAAATCAAAGGGACTCCCTAAATACACCTTGTTTTTTCAAGATTTATCTTTCCCTATTAGAATAAGAATAAATCATATTTCATCTAACTCTCAAATATTCCTACGATGAACAGGGGTCTCTCCTCCTTAAAACTCAGTGCATTTCCATAGCTTCCGTTATGAACAGTTAAAAACAAAAACAACATGTAAATATTCCCTTTGCTGGTTAGTGTTTTTCCAGTGAGTAAAGAATTTAAAACCGTAGCTCAAGGTGAAAGGTTGCAATTATTGTGGATTTTGTGTGTCTATAATACCTCACTGCACCTCCCATCCCTAACGATAGGAAGCTGTCTATATTGTCAAACAAAATGTGTACATTACAAAAGGCTAAATAATGGAGAAACATGTAGTCTAATAAAATTTTTATTTAGATATTTATTCTACTTACTATTATATACATAGGATCTCAGGGTAGCTAAAAGTCTGATATTCAAAATGGTTTCCTCATCCAATGCCTGCAGACTAAATACAGTATTCATTTCTGCTCTCCCTCTAGTTTTGTTAAGCACAGCCATACATCTTTCTCACAAAGGTACAGAGAAAACATAAAACATCTCAATTTCCTAAGCGAACATCTGGTCAATGGAAAGCAAAAGGTTATGCATGGATGGCAAATTTTTCTTTTCTCCCTCTTTTTTATATTCTAGTCCTACAGATTCCCATTTTCATGTTTGGTTACTTAATTTTGATTCCCTGAAATGACTGGAAGGTTAGGGTCTTCCCAAAATGTTATGAAAACCTCACTTTACAAGATGCAACAAGATACAAAATAAATCGTTTTTCAGCTCTCTATCCCTCAATATGGGGCTCCCTGGGTATTATGAAGAGAGGAAAAAAGAATTTGGTGGGCAGAATTTATCTCCCTTGCTGCCTCTCCATTGCCTTTTCATTTCCCCCTGCAAACCTGAGCCATCTAAGTAATTAATTTTCAATAAGCTGAATAAATGATCTTTCACTACTAAACAGCCCTAACAGATTGAGAGCTTTATAATGATGGGAGCATTTCAGGAAAATATATCTATGAAGCCTTGGAAAGATAAGATTTCACAAATATCTTTTATTGAGTTGCCAGCCCATAGACACCAGCTGCAAGACAGCTTCTCAAGGTGTCCTTGGTCACCAGGCTGTGGACCTCGTGTGAGAGATATTTAAATAGGCAACCTTATGGTGCAAATTTGAGTGTGGGGGAAATAACTCCAGAGACTTAAAACCAAAAAAAGCATAATCACTTATCCTTTGGGAAACTGTCCAAACAGTAGAAGGAAGCAGAGAAGAAAATAAATATCCAGCAAATAAAACTAACATAGATCTTTATGCTAAGTAACATGGGCCCCAAGTATTCTCTTTTCTCTATGGTAGATTTATTCCCCAAATTAGTTCTATGGCTTCTTTTGCCGCCCAGACAACCATCAAAATCACTATCGTGAAGCTTGATTGGCCTCATCTCAAATCTCTAACCCATCACCTGGCAGTGACGCATCCCTATTTCCTCTGTCTCCACACAATGGTGACACTTTGAAGCAGTGCTGAGAAGGTCCCGAAATTTCTTCTTTCTACTTAAAATTGATAATCTCCTATCATACAAACTCAAGCACCTATTTTTTTATTATTTAAATTTTATTTTTATATTCCCCTCACAATTACAACCCCCTTATTTTGACCCCAAGCCCTCCTTTCCCAGCTCCCCACCCCCCATAGAGAGTCTCTGGTTCATAGTTGTTTGTTGATTTTGATATTTTCTTTCTTATAGTTATTCTTTTTCCTGGTCCCTTATTTAAGTTTTCTAGATTCCTGTCAAACACCTATTTTTAATGAAACCTTTAGATGAATATCAAAGAACTATTTAGCCATGTCTAATATTTTAATTAGATTATATTCTCAATTTAACCCATTAAACCTCCTTTGATGATCCCCACATTTAGTGTTTAGCCTCAGATGCACGAGGTAATGAATACCGGACCTTTTGATTTAATGAGAATTTTGGCTCTTCCAGCCTGCGCCTCTTTTGTATACCTTTTATTTTGCTGGCTATAGAATTCAGTTAATTGAAGCAGTCTCTTACCATCGCACATTAAGGGGTATAAATTAGCATCCCCATTCTGATTGGAAAATGCAAGCAGACAGTTCTGCTTTGATCTGAGGACTGAACTGAAGAAGGCAGCAGCCCTCTGAAAATGAGCTGATGGCCTTGTTATCCGAGCAAAATGCAGATGCGTCCATGTGTCACAAAACACTTAATGTCTTAATTGATCACCTTCCAATTCTCCCTGTCCTGTTTGTCCTGTTTGCATCATTCTCTTTCACAGTGAGTGTGTGTGCATGTGTGTATGTATTTGCATCTGTAGCTCTGTCTTGCTTTCTCTGTTTATCCTGTTTTTCTACTCAGAACCAGGGACCTGAGTTATAAATTAATCTGAGATCAAAGAAAATGAAATAAACTCCCTCACTTTAAAATCTATAAGAATATCCTATAAAACTAGTCAGGACCTTCTCCAGACAAAGATTCTTCAGGACTAATTGTAACATCTAATGTTCTCAAACTGTTATATCCAAGTGATGGGTCCCTGAATAAGAGGTAGAAAAGGCTACCCTGCGCTTTAACAATAAAGTCAGCCTTTGAATCTGTTCCAATGAAAATGCAATTCTCTTGAGCCTCAACAAATTCAGTTACATAAAAGAAACATCAAGATAAAAGATCAATACCTCTCTCACTCACTGTAGAAGTCAGAATAAATTAAATTCAAATTTTGAGACTACTAGGAAAATATGGTAGAGTGAAAATATATACATTATTTCCCTCCCTTGGCAAGCCTCCATTGAAACCACGGTAAAAGGGAATTTTGTTTCTTTAAAGATTTTATTTATGCATCCTGTGGTAGGCTGGGGAGGGGAGGGGAGGGATGGAGAGGTGGGGGTGTGTGAGAGGATTCACCAGAGAGAGTGGGGAGCAGAATACGCAGACTGACAGAAATACACTGCTGAAGGGAGCAGCAGGCAAGACAGGAGAAGTCTGTTGTGCCATATCCGTTAGCTCCCTGGCCTGTATCAAATTAGTGCTGCAGTGGCTGCCAATAGCTCCATTGTGCTGAGACTTAACCCCTTGCTCCACCAGGGAGGCCGGGTAAAAGGGAACTTTAAAAGACAAACATAAGAACAGGAGGGACAATAGTAACAATCTGGAAAGCAGATGAATGAGTTACAAATAAAAAAAAAAATTTAGCTGATTCTAAAAAAAATAAATTCTAAACTAGCCAAGGGGAAATCCCAAAATCAATTTGATATGTGCTCAATTTTTGATCGTGTTAATTACTTCTAGAAGTAGGGGTGAGGGTGGGATAAAGGAAGAATTACTGCCCCCCCCCTCCCCCTGCATAGGTGTCTCTGAAACTCCAATGCCTTTGTTGTAAGGACAAGTGGCTGTTCTGAAGCAAGCACTGAAAGTCAGCACTGGGCCATGTGTTCTGAATACTGAGAATTCTCATCCTCTTCTACTACTGGGCACCCAGACCCTTAGCACTAGGTCTTCATCTGTCTACAAACAGGAGCTTGGAAAGTTATTTTTTCTTTCAGGTGTGCATCACTGAACATCAGCTTGTGTAGATACTATATTCTGTCCACCACGAAAAGGTAAATTCTTTCCTGGGGAATCTGACTGAGCTAAAAGAAATGACCTAAAAATTCTATCTTCAGAGATTCCCCAACTCAAGAAACTCAACTATGTTATTCTGAAGGAAAGCTCACAGTCAACTAGTTCCCCTGGGTACTCAGATTCCCATTAGCCATTTAGTTTC